AAGAAAACACACTACAGGCTTGCCTATAGCCCAATTTTAAGGAGGCATTTTCTCACTTGAGGATCCCTCTTTCCCGATGACTTTAGCTTGTGTCAAGTTGACAGAAAACCACACAGGACCTAGATCTACCATAAGACTTGGGTATATCACTGTTTGCCATAAGCTCAAAAGATTCAACTTACTATTCTACAGATACTTTGCTTGGCTGCATTCATTGCCATTATATTCACAATAGCTAGGAAATGAAAACAACCTAAATGTTCTTATAGTGCTGAATGGTAATAAAAATGTTGGTTCATGCGGGGAATGATTAGCTCATGCGTGGGTTCTTGAATCTTGTTAGGCTGTTGTGATTCCTGAGGCTCCAAAGAGACTGGCGCTTGGGTATCTTGACTGAGTTCTCACCCAGTCTGAAGTTCTGCGGGGGTGCAGAGCTCTTGGATTGGGGATCCCCTGACCAGGAGGTGGCTAGGGACCAACTGGTCTCAAGCCCTTGGGCTCTCAGACGCCACTGAGAGGCCTCGGCTGGCCCACAGCTGAGAGAAACCTGATGGGGGGAGAAGAAAGAGGCCCCGACAGCACCCCTCGGGAGAGACTTGGTTACTGTACTGGCTTAGCAGACTCGGAGGCCCAGCTAGCTTGCTTGAAGATGTGGGTCCCTGTGGCTGGGATGCAGAGAGGTACTCCAGGTTGGAAGTTAGGCACAGCAGCTGTGGCGGCTCGATGTTAAAGGTCTTCTCCATGTTTTCCCACGGCGGGGCCCCAAAGACGCGAGAAGTCCACGGGTTTAAGAGATTTATTTTCATGGCAGATGGTAGATGGATCTGGATGTACCCACTATGAAACTCAGGGCAGACCTGAGTTAAATAGGGAGAGAAAAGGGGAAGGGTCTGGGGAAGATGCTTAATTGGCTCTGCCCTCTGGCCTTCAGGTATCTCATTAGTATGTAAATCTCTCTAGGGCCTGAAGCCTGTAGTCATGCCCTCTACCTGTGCTCTTTGGGAGGGGCTGCAACGGCCTATGAGACTGAACAGTGCAGGTCAATGGAGTTCCACGCCACATGTTAGGAGCCTGGCTTCTGGGAGCACGGCAAAATAGATGTCTGTCCTTCACAGGCAATGGACTCCTGGGCTATTTCCAGCCAACGCTTTGACCAAAACCAGCCATCCTATCATGGTCCTACAGGTACATACAGAAAAGAAAATCATGAAATTTGCAGGTAAATTTATGGATCTAGAAAATATTAAAAAAATAAAAAATAAAAAAATTAAAAAAAAAAAGCTGGGCAGTGGTGGCGCACGCCTTTAATCCCAGCACTTGGGAGGCAGAGGCAGATGGATTTCTGAGTTCGAGAGTTTGAGGCTAGCCTGGTCTACACAGTGAGTTCCAGGACAGCCTGGGCTACACAGAGAAACCCTGTCTCAAAAAACCAAAAAAAAAAAAAAAGAAAAGAAAAGAAAAGAAATATTAAGAAATATTAAGATGAACAAGGTAACCCAGATCCAGAAAGACAAATGACTCATATTCTCTCTCATCTGTGATTCCCAGATGTAAACCTTTAGATGGAGTGTATAACCTGGAGTAACGGCAAAAACAAACAACAAACAAACAAACACAAACAGAAAAGTCAAGAGACCACTGGGAAGGGGTTCAGATAGGTCTCTAGAGAAGGGGATGGTAGAACACAGACGCTATGAAGGAGAAAGTGGGAAAAATGAGGGGGTCTTTAATTAGGGAGAGGTGAAAGAGGACAAATTGTTCTGTAGCAGTTTCCTTTGGGTTGAAACATTCTATCCTGTAGGGAAACTGTAAGCCAGAAAGTTAACAACTCAAAACAGCTTTAGGAAGTCTCTCAAAGTGATCAGATTCTCTAGGCTCCTCCCTTCAAGAGTAAGCATTAAGAATTGCTGAGAGCTACTCTTAGACAAGACAAGCTGCAAAGAAGTCTCTGAGACCAGACCAGCTGCCTAACAGGGTTTAGACCGAGTGAATCTCTTGGAAATGACACTCTCCAACCTGCTGAGCTGCTCACAGACTGTTCATTGTGCTCCAGGTTAGCAGCTTTGCATGCTGTCATTCATGCTGGTGTAGGTGTTGGTGATTTGTCTTTGAGACATTTCTGCTCCTGTCAATAACCCCTTGCCCATAAGTAATCCCAAGAAAACTCACTGGCTTTCCAAATGTTCCTCATTATTTTGTGTAGATAATACTCAAAATCCTTTACTTTGGCTATTTTGAAATTGGTATCTTTTCTCAATCCACATCCAAGTAAAGCCCTATAAAATATTATTAGTTATGGATGTTGCTGTGTATTCATGTCAGCTCAAGTGGTGGGGAAGCCCTTCAACCTCTAACCATGCATTTTGCCCAGTTCTCTGCTGCCTGAGCAGAGGCAGCCACTCTCCTGGGTTTTTCCTTACCAATAAATCTCCTGTGTGATGTTTGTTGTTTGTTGTGACTTTGTTGTATTCCTTGGTTCTCAAATGCCAGGATATCTCTGGGATCAGAGCTGTAACACTTCTGCTGGGGAAACTTCCGCCGACAATATCAGAGCTGATACACTTGCATTGGGGAAACTTTGGGAAACTTTCCTAGTAGCTGGATCAGACCTCCTGTAGGGGAAGCCTTTCCCTTCAGAGCTGCAATACTTACAGATGTAACCATAAAGCTTGCAAATTCAACCTTGTTCCTGTCTCTTGGTCTTCTCTATCACACCAGGTTATAAAAAGAAATATGTTTGCTAGGATTGTTGCTATTACTGTCAAGTCTCATGTCACTCATGCTTTGTTGTCCCTTTATGAAATACAATGTCTAAGAGACAAAATGGCTAGGGTGTGTGTGTGACTTGTTATGTCAGACAGTCTGGCCTCAAATTTGTATCAATCCTCCTTCCTCACCCTCCCAAATGCTAGGATTACAGGTACAGACCACGATGATCAGAGTCTGTTAGGGATTGGTTCTAATGCTGTCTCAATTCAATTTGGCTCCCAGAAGGCTGTGTTCTCAGATGCTGAGGGTCTCTGCCCCCAGTTGGATTTGACTGGCAATAAAAAATTGCTGTATAGCTAATGCTGGGCAGGTAGACTGAGGCAGGACCTGGAGATTTGCTTGGGCTACGTACTGGGAGAGAGAGAGGAGAATTTCCTTGACTTGGGAGAGAAGGATGTAAGAGTTTCAGGAGAGAAAGCCAAGCAGCCATGTAAGAATTCTGGCCCTTCCTCTCCCCCAACCCCTCCCCCTCCCGTGACTCCCCTGGCCTCAATTCTTTCTTTTTATTTATTTATTTTAAATATTTTATTTATTTACAATACAGATGTCATTCCCTTTCCCATTCCCCCTCCCTAGAACCCATCTGGTGGAGAAATGACCTATCAGGTGGCACCATTCACAGTGAGCTAGTCCCTCCTACATCAGTTACCAGGAAAGTTCACCACTGGCTTGTTCATAGGCCAGTTTGGTTGAGGGGATTTTCTCAGTTGAAGTACCTCAATGACTCTAGCTTTGTCAAGTTGGCCAGCACACCTCTACCGAAAATTATTTCCAGTTCAATTGTTCTCCCCTCCCCCAACCCCTACTTCTCGAACTAATTGTAGGTGTTGTCTACAAATGGCACATTCTCAATAATACACATAAACCTCCAACTGCCAGTTCAGGAAGTACTGAAAGTATTGCCCACGTCTATTCATGTATAAAAATGTCAGAATAAATTCATTATTTTGTACAACTTGTGTATGCTAATTAAAATACTTAAAGAAAATTAGTCAGATTCTACAATGGCACTTGGGGGCTGGCTCACTTGCCAATGAGAGTTGTCATCCTGGCGAAAGGATTCCCAAAAGCACCTAATATGAATTTGAATGGCTCCAGTTCTAGTTAAGTAATAAACAAACATAAGGAGTGATGTGTTTATAAAAAGATAGAGAGATAAGGAGAATATGTTCCGTGGGTGTGTGGAGAGGTATGGGGGGAGGGAATGTCTCAGTGGGCCCATGCAGAGGCATCCCTTCCCCCCGAGGGACCAGCCACACACAGGTATAGCATAGAATAGAGTTTATTCAGGGCATGGGGAGGGGAGCCAGGAGCGTAGTAGAGGCAGAGAGAGAGAGAGAGAGAGAGAGAGAGAGAGAGAGAGAGAGA